AGGTAATTCCACGAAATAGCAATTCCACCCACAAAAAAAAATCACACGTTTCGAATGTACAACATGGTTTTCTCGGCAACGTATGCAATGATTTCACGACCACCTTCAACCCTCGGGCACTAACTAGGTATCTTACGTTCAAAAGCAAAAATCTGCTGCTCAAGTGCACAAATCTCTCTTCAGAGAGGACTGGGGCATCAATTTATAGCGCAATGGGGATGCTAACTTATCCTGTCAAAACAATTCTATTAATTTGGCAGAAATAGTTGGAACTGGAGATTCTGAGATAACCCAGCTCTACACCGTGTTATCTCTATTAATTTGGCCCTGGCTCGTTTTCCTCGGTGATCACGTTAGCACGCCTGGGGGAAATGGGTGTTGCCAGTTAATCAAATATGCTAGTTTCCGCGTTTTCAACCATTTAAAAAGCTCCAGAATGTTCCCGTGTCAATGCGGGGTTGTGGTCTCGTAAACTGTGCGTGAGTCAGTGAATTATCTGAGCAGCGCCGAAGGAAAATGGCGCTGCAGTGAAGGTTGAGGTCAGGGCAAGGCAATGGTGAGTCATTCATTTTCGGGAGTTAAGGTGTGTAGGCCAACAGGCTGAAGGTCCACCTAGGACACGAAGATGCTTCCGAGGAATGAGAAGGAGAAGAAAAGTGTTGTAAAAGATGGGCCCCACAACTCCAAAAAGTAACTCCTTGTTCAATTAAATTTATCTTTAAATAACAGCATAAAACACTTGAGCTTTATATCAAGATGTGTTGCATTCCAAACTCAAGTGTTAATTACAAAGTTACTAAAATTGGGTATGTAGAGATCCTTGAGCTGATCTCAGTTCCCAAATCTTTTCTGCACTGATTGCTCACAAACTCCCTTCTAGTCCTCTGATGTTCAAGTTAAAGCCACTTCATCAAAACTTCTCCTGAAAGATCTTCTGCAACCTTTACTACAAATTGTAAACATTGAAGAATACAATAGAAGTGTACTTTCATAAATTATAATCAACTCTGCCTATAAAACTTGATAGGTTTATAGATTTAATCAAATTTTTACATTTACCTGAGCACATCTTCCAAGTTCAGTTTTGCCAAGATATGCAAATATTTTCAGTGCTAGCTCATAAGGCAGGTCAATATCAAAAAAGGGAATTTCATTTATTTCATTCTGCAACAGAACAGCAAATACAATGTATTATACACTTCAAAAGCAACAGATGTACAACACGTATTTAAAAGAGACATAATTACCTGTGTTTGAATAATTATACTGGAGATAGAGTACTTTCCCCTCCTGTGGCCTTTTTACCTAAATCCCTCAACTGAATGTATAATTGAAATTCCAGTATGGGAACTTGTTACTGTGATCCTACTTCGAATTTTCTGGGAAATAGAAGGCCCAGAGAATTGGTCATTCAATATGTAAAACACTTAAAAGCCATAACAGTTTTAAACTACAACAACAACAGTTTAAGACTATCCTTTTCACCTACCTTTTCACCATAGTTCTCTAAATGATACAATCTTAAGCCCTGGTGAGAGTTTTGTCCTTATTTCTGGGCATCAAACTTCAACAAGAATGTTAAGACCTTGACGACGGTGCAGAGATTTATTAAAAAGTATACATGGCATGAGAGATGGTGGGTTTATGTTGAGAAACTAAAGAAGCTGGAGCTGATTACTTAGAAATCAATCTTTACTATTCAAATATGGTGGTATTTGATAAACTGGTAGGAGACAGGTAATCAGAATGCACAATGGTAACAAAATTGTTGAAAGAACCAAAGGAGTGGTGAAGAGAAATTTTAGATAGTGAATTATTGTTTAGAATGCACATCCAGTAAATGGGTAGATGTAAGTGTAGTTGGACGACAGAAGTCAATGTAGCTGCAGGTTAGTTACAGTGGGCACGAGGACAGTGCACAATACATGGAAGTGGTGCACCTGACAGCAGATCTCTCTGGCAGGAGTACCTACAAGCAGGAGCAGTCAGAAAGGGTTTTGGAAGCAAATTCAATGGTAACCATCAAAAGTGAATTGGATACATACTTAAAGAAGAAAAATCAAAGGGTCATGGAGGAGAGTGGGACAACGCTTCCAAAATACTCAGCCAATGGAATTCCTTCTGAATTGCAAGATTATTTGGTTGCATTGAGTTCTTTTTAACTACAAGATGCATAAATCAACTCCATTAAGTAATTTGTTCTAAACCATGATTTGCAGCGGTTCCTTTGTCCAGGTACTGGATACTACATTATTCATTGGAATGGAGGTGGAAAATAGCTTAAGGCCCAGAGTGCTTCAGATCATTGGCACTGAAAGTAATTCTTGTATTGTACGTAATTGCTAGTGTCCACTTTTAATCTCTCCATTCAAATTTTAAACCACTCAATTTAAACGGTTTAAGGCAGTAATATTGCTAAATTGTGATTACAGTTTTCATTTCTTCTAATTCAATGAAATAAACCTAAGATATCAAAACCTGATATTTAACTCATTGCAGGTGAAATATGTTGCAAGAGGTTAGAAGGGAATTCTAGGAGAAAAAAAAGTAAGGGTGTAGCTGGGAAAATTAGTGTCATCTATTTCCAAGGTATCATTATACATTTCCAATCCAATAGTTTCTCTTTGAAGTGTATTCATTATTATTGTGAAGGAATATTCAATAATCAGTACGCATACTGCAAATTTCAACAACCTGCAAATGAGATGAATAACCTGTTTATCTGTTTTTGATGTTAACAGGTTGAGGAAGAATGAACACTACGCTGGAGTGAAGGATAAGATGTAACAAGTCAACAGCTTAGATGAATAAAGGTGTGAACCATGTGGATTGGGCTAAATCCGGAAGATAAATTAGATTTTCAAAGGAATTGCTGAATGAAGAGAGGACAAGTTACCATCTAGTTCACCTTCTAACATTCTGATTATCACACAGTCCAATGATGATGGAGTTGTTCACAAATCTTAGCAAATCAGCCCTTAGCAAGTAGATCTGATGTGAAGACAGTCCTAGTGGTGGGAAGCTTTGGAAACCATAGGTCTGAAGTCACGAGATTCCCAGGAATATGCCACATTTATCAGACGTTTAAAATTGTTCACACATATACCAAAATGTTATTTTCTGAAATAAATCTAATACTAGCTTTTTCTGCTGTCTGCTATAGATTGTATCATAGAAAATAGCAAATTTGAGACAGAAAATCAATGCAGCAGGTCTTAAAGATGTAGTAAGAAGTGACTGCATTTTGAGCAGTTTTGATACACAGAATGATTCAAATTGAATTACTATTCACTGCCAACCAGTCATTCATTATGCTAAAATTACACATTGTACAGCACTGTATGAAACCTAGTTACGCTAATTCTATGGGATTGAGAATTTGTTTTACCAGTCCATAACTTTTAAGACGAGAACTTCTTGAGCACAAGACACTAACCATCTTTTAAAAAATTAAACCAGCTGCATACTCAATCCACACAAACTCTCCACCACAAGTAAAACAGAAGTGCATATAAATACCTGATACATGTTGATTGAAGTAATACTGCTGGTATAATAATACTGGTACATAGATAGCATTTGTTTATATTGCAAATTCTATGCCTACTGCCTGTACGTGGAAATAGTTACAATAATGAAAAGCTAACAAAATTTACATTGTAAAATGAAGTAGCTCTTCTTCACAAAGGTGTCTTTTCATAAAATATTTATATTTTTGCACCTCTATAACTGGAGTGCTTTAGGTCATCTTTTTAATCAGAAACACTGCATTGAATTATACTGATGGCTCCATGTAATTCTCTAGACAGGCAAAATTAGTCTTGAACCTTAAGCCAACAGCCAAATGCTGGCTACATTTTAAATGATGGAGAAGAATGTCCTTTCGAGACATTAACAGCTCTATAAACTTGGGAATAATTTTCAATGTGAAGTGATTGTGGTTATTTGGAGAATGAAACATCTCATTTGCTCTCTTATAGTATTAAAAAAATCCAACTTTAAGAATCTCCAAGATAACTAACATTTTTAAAATTTGGTTTACACTAAAGATAGTCTCATGTTGTCGACACATATGTTCCTGACCAAATATGGTTTGCCAAAACTTAAATTTTGCAAGAAAACTGTGTTATACAGACTTTGCAATAATTTTCTGTCCTAATGGAGTTGCAGCAGTACATTTTAATCAAGTTTAAAGCCAAGAAAAACTATTCAATTGGTACAAGAATCAACAGAAATGAACTATTTAATGTTATTACTGTATATCTGACAATATAATTCCTGCATACGTCAACATCCTTTTCACCACTTCATTATTTGAGGATGCTAATTCTGTACCGGACATATCCCAGTATCTCTTTCACTGAAAATACAAATGCTAGCAAGGAACTGGAACATCCTATCCTCACCTATCATCCATACAAATCTCCTGTTGGTTTGTTAGATAGCGGAAATGGAACACAATGCAGAGCTTCCTCCCCTTAGATCGGAAAATTATGGTTCCCTTGTCATCTGCTAACTCAATATAGAGTAATGATTAGTCCTCAAAACCTTCCCAGTCTAAGCTCATCAGCTGCTGGCTCAACCAGCTAAGCCATTTGGGAAAACAAATGTCAGAATAATATTTGGTGTTCCTTAATTGTTTACAATAGAATTCTATTTATTTTGGTATCCTTTTCTTAATTCCTAAATAATAGGCAGGTGATAGATAATGACATGATACATATAAAAATTCTAACTATTAAGGTCATACCTCAAGCAGCTATGCAACTATACAAGTCAATGTCGCTGTCAAGATTGCATCATATCTGCTTCTGACATTATTAATGCTTAAGGAGCATCCTTGAAAATTAAAATACAAACCAAAGAGCTCCAACTCCTATTAAAGGAAAAATCTCTCGAAAATATATTTACAGTTATGCATTTATTCACACCAGAAATGAGTCCAACATTTTGCAAATACAGGAACTTGCTGAATGGAAGGGGACTAGAGAGTCAGAAGCAAAGAAAAAAAGGAGACTGGAGTAAGTTTTGAATGGGAGATGTAGTTAAAACATACAAGAGTTCAATTTTTACATTTGTCTACCAGGAACATTTTGAGAAATGAACTCATTATCAAAAATAAAATCACCAAAATCCCATTCCCTACCTATATTGTTTGTTTATATTAATTTCAATCTTAAAATTCAAAGACAGTCGAGGAGGTTGCTGTTATCATGATTGAAAGTTTAATTCTCTTATACACGCATCCTGTTATCTTGTTTTTCCAAAACAAATGAACGCAATTCTGAAACAATTTTAAAACTATTCGTAGTGCCCGCTTTGAACTCCAATGCCTTGGGTGATGTTGCAAATAACAATCTTCAATTAGCTTTACAGTTTGCCAGTGCCACAATGCTTTCGCACATGTAATGAAGAGGCAGTAATTGTGCCCTTGGGATCCTTTGGTGGTTACTGCCTAATGCCTTTCACTCCTTCACACAGCTCAGTTTCTAAATGAAGTTAATTCTCCTCAAGTAAATAACATTTATAGAGGACAACACAATTTCCACTAATTCGAAAATTGCAGCTTCTTAAATGGTTGATTTTCGACTGTCAGCTGCGCCTGTGACCTTAACTAAGCAGTGATCAAACTGTTTGACTCATGGTGCATTACCACCGCAAACAATCAGATTGCAGCGTTATCGACCCTCGAGAACCTCCCCAGGGAATTCCACATCTTCAGGTTTTACCAGTTCCATTATCTGCCAATGGCACAAACTTCTCATTAAGTTTATTGTCCATAACAAACTAAAGCCGAACAAAATGACCACAAAGGAAGAAACCCAGGAACAAAAACTCTTGTTCGGATCTCGACTGGAGATTGCGGTCGCGGGGTCACTGTGCGCCCATAAAATGCCAACGGGCCAGGAAATCCACAAATAAAGTCTTTAAATGAAGGGCTGGCTATCGCGGTGAGGCGGACAGGAAGAAGTTACAGTCATTTACCAAGTCATCGATGAGCTGATCCAGCAGGTTCTCCTTCTTGTTGCTGGGGGCCTGTGTGGATTGGCCCTGGGGCCCTCCCCAGGCCTCGGACCCTGTCCCTGTCCCTCCGCGCCCGCCGCATCGTCCGTCTTCCAGGCGCTCTCTGAGCGGGCTGCTCCGGCCCTCCAGCAGGCTCTGGGCCAGGTAGAAATAATCATCAGCTGCTCCTGCTCGCTGCCGGCCGCTCGACCCCTCCACCGCCTCCCTGTCTCCATGGTCACCGGGCCCCGGGTCCGACTGCTGGCGCCGCTTTTTGCTGCTCCTTTCGCCGCAGGTCACCCTCCCGGCCCGGTTCCGCTCCCTAATCTCTTCTCTCCACAGCAGCCGGAATTTTTCCAGCTCCTTATCGCCCATCCTCCATACCCAGAAACTACTAAACAACAACTGCGGGGCGAGGGAGCCCACTTCAACAGCTCTCGCCGCCCGGAGACATTCTCCGGTTGCACCGTTCTCTCTGTTCAAACGGCGCCGTGTGGAGATGTACAACCTCAGCATCCAGTTCCGAGCCAGGAATGTTCCCCTCGGACTTTACACTCGGTTTGCCAGCCCTGGTGGCACAAAACAATTGCTGTCATTTGGAAATGTCATTGCATCCACCTTATAAATCAGTAGTTTCTTCGTAAATCTATTCTTTAATTAGGCTTCGTGCTGCTTCCGACAACTCTGAAGACTTCATATGTTGATAAAAGTCGATGCGAGACATAAGGTCGTTCAGAAATTGCTGGAAAAGCGCCGCAGGTCTGGCAGCATCTGTGGAGAGAAATCAGAGTGACCGTTCCTCTCTACAGATGCTGCCTGACCTCTTGAGCTTTCCCAGCAATTTCTGTTTTTGTTTCTGATTTACAGCACCCGCAGTTCTTTTGTTCCTTTTATAATGTCATTCAGCTTTAACTATAATTCATTCACAACACTTTCTTTTAATTGCTTCTTGTCTTTGCTCCAAAGTCGAATCATTAGACTTTCAGCGAATGCATTTGAGACTGTGATTAATAATGTGAATTTTTTTTTCGTTTTTGTTTCCATGATATACTAGTTTGTTAGCTTGCATTTGTCTTTTTTTAGTCATTGAGATAATTATATATCGTCTTTTTTTCCCAATAAAGTTCATTAGACATTTTAGCAATAGAAAGGAAAATCAATCTCAATGCAATGATTTCTCAACGTCCATCTCATTTCATTGTCATGTGAGAGTATTTTTTTTATAAAGGTGCTTGAAAACCGCATAAAATAAAACAAACAACTGCGGGTGCTGGATATCTGAAACAAAAAGCAGAAAGTGTTGGAGAAACTCAGCAGGTCTAGAGTTACTCCAGACTCTTAATTTTTTTCCCTCACCACGGATGCTGTTCGTTGGTTTCTGGTCTAAAACTGGCATAAGCAGTGTTAGCTTTACGGGATTAAACACAATATACAATAACGCCCAGTCTCTCCTGAAATACGTGAAAGGTGTATATCACTCATCTCGTGATTATCAAATTAAAAATAAGCACGTCATATTTAATCCTTTCCAACCCGAAAATACATCAAACAACCACAAACAAACCATTTTATGTTTCTTATTTGAGGTGTCTGTTCCAACTGACAGAAATATATGCTGATTAAAAGTCATTAGTTAAAACTTCTTCCAACTTTGGAGCTCAAATATTCTCATTGTTGATACCTGATTTTGTGCATCCACCAGACTTGCTTTTATTTGCAATTTCTGTATCTGGTAGAAGCTTTGGAGCAATTTAATATCAAGATCTTAATGGGGAATCACAGTCTGATGACTCTCTCATTTCTGCTGCTATCGAAAGATTTTACTGAAGTGCATCCTTTGTGGCAAAATAAAACACTTTGTGTTTGTTCTTGATTTTTCACCACATCTTTATATATTGGATATTTTGTATGCATGATGTAGATTAGTATTTCCATATTTAAGTGAAAATTATTTATGATGTACAGTACATACACCCATTAATTAGTTGATTTTTTGAGAAGTTTATTCTTATATTTGGGATTATCTTTGCTTTAGTTGTCAATGCCAGCACTTTAGTGTCCTCCTCTAACAGCACCTTCACTGCTACAAGGTTGCGAATAGACTCTGCAGAAATTCTGTATTGTATACCAGGTTAAATGCAGAATGTTGCTATTTCTAGCAAGCCAGCGTTAAACTTGGGTGCCATGATAAAGTGAAATATTACTGAATTTGTCGTGATGTCACCATTAGTTGAACGTGAATGAATTGTTGCACTACTGAAACAACCAAGAAACCATTTTCTCAATTTTCCAAATTTGCACATGGCTGCAGCAATGTCCAGGAGATCGACCTTAATTTTGTGTGTTATCAAAAATCTGAAATCACAACAGGACGTGCTGGAGAAATTCAACAGATTTGGTTGTATCTGCAGAGAGAAACAGAGTGAACATTTAGAATCAAATATGTCTTCTTCTGAATTGTGATAGGTTTTATACTGCAGGAAAAGGTAAGGAGGAGCAAGTGGAACAGAAGGAAAGATCAGACAAAGATTAGAGGATGAATGAGATTCAAGATCAGACTTGAGACAGAAAAGACATAGATTCAGAGTAGATGATTTATAGTGGAATATAGGTCACTTCTGCTCAAAGGAAAATAAGATAGTATAGTAATTTATTATTACACTTAATTATGAAAATTCAGTAAAATGTGTATAAGTCGCCATAATTAATCTGGCACCATTTCAATCACATAAATTATAAAAAGAAATAATACACATTAAGACAAATTTCATTTTTTTTGTTCCAACCATGGCTTCTTGATTTCTTAACTGGCTATCGGACACCGCCAATACTCCACAACAGTCAAAGCTGTCTCCGAGGATGCAACACCAAGGAGGACGTACACTGAAGCAGACTGGACCCAGTACAGTCTCTGCCAAAGCCATCTATCACCATCGATACTTCAGTCAATGCCATAGCCAAGGGTCAGTCCCAACCCTTGAAGATCAGGACCTATTTCAACTTCCGAGGACTGTCTAAATTAACGCTCGAGGACCGAGGGATCATCCACTCCGTCACCGTTGCAGACGCCACCAAACCACCAGAAGTACAGAACTGACACCTTTGCTCAAGCTGCGACCTCTCCGACCATGAGGAATGGGCCGGGTCCGCCGCTCAACAGCTCCCTGCAACCTCTCTCCACCATCGCAGCTGTAGAAGGAAGGAAATATGTCTTTAATTCAAAAGTTAAATGACGAAAATAAAATTTTAAAAAAAGACGTGGTCGGTCTTGTGAGAGAGAGTGGAGGGGCCCAGGAGCCTGAACACTTCCTACCCTCCTGCCTACGCCATCTTCCCATCTCCAAAAAAAACCATACACGGGGGAAGGTGGGGAAAAACATGAGGACAGAGTTCATGTCTGAAGTTACTGAAGTCAATATTGAGACCAGAATTTATAAAGTGTGTAAAAAGATAATGAATTGCTGCTCCTCCAGTTTACGTTGGACTTCACTGGAAAACTGCAACAGGAACTACACAGAAATGTGATCATGAGAGCAAGATGGTTTGTTGAAATGGCAAGTGACAAAAAGGCTCCAACTTATGCTTGTGGAGTGGTGCAGAGCACAATAGCTCTCCATAACCAATTAAAGATCAGCTTTTCATTACTTTCAACAAATTGCTGACACTGGGTCAGGTCCATGAAGAAAAAAATCTCAATCTCTCCGCCTCTACATTAGTCCTGACTATACTGCGGTCCTTACATACGCTGATCCAAGCATCTGCGCACAATGGCCCATCCAGTTGGCACACCCCACCACACATACTGGGTACACCAAAGAAATAACAACAACGATTCCCAAAGTAAAAGTTTTCAGAACCTCGGAAGTGTGACAAGAAAGCACAATTGGCATTAGTCACCTTCTCTACCTATGGAACTTAGTGTGCACCAAAAAGTAGATTATCTTCAAATAAATATTTCTCCCAAAACGCTGGTGGCTGTATTCAGGATACACACCATTGATAACAGAAGATTCTCATCAAAATCAGAAAGTTTTGGAACCCTACTTCAAAATGGTACAGCACCTGGATAGAACGGATGGGAATTCCAAAGCTCTTTATTTGGAAATGTTCCCTATTCCCATGAGCATCTGTTGTGAAATGTTAAACAGCTCAGTGCCATCAAATAGAATTCCAACTCATTTGACAGATTTGTAAGTTGCCTTGAGCTTTTGTTTTCTGATTGGTTAGGAGTAGAAGGAGGATATTTTCAGTGAATCTTGGGAGTCTCCTGACAAACATCTTAAGTATAATTGTGCATAAAACATAATTTGGTGTAATGTCATATGATTATGATTATACACTATAATATATTTTAAATATGATTATTGTTACATTGTTAGCATTTTCCAGTCAGCAGTCTTAGCTGTAGCTCTGTTGGTAGTATTCTTAGCTTGGAGTCGGAAAATTATGGGTGCAAATGCCAGTATAGAAATTTGAGCACAAAATCTAGGTTGACAATCCTAATAGAGCACTGAGAGATTGCTGCACTACAACAGGTGTCAGCTTTTGGTTGAAATGTTAAACCAAGCCCCGTCCCCCACCCTACCCTCATAACTGCATCTAAAATATCTCATAACAGCGTTTTAAAGAAGATTGGGTAGTACTCCTCGGTAATATTCATCTTTCAACTTACATCGCTGAAATAAGTAATTTGGTTATTATCTCATTGATGTTTGTGGGATCTTGCTGTGTGTAAATCAGCTGTTGTGTTTCCCACATTACAACAGTGGCTACACTTCAGAAGTATTTAATTGGCTATGATGTTCTTTGGCATACTATAAGATTGCAAAAAGGTGCTCTATTAAATTCTTCTTTCTCTTTTCTAGCAGGCTTCCAATAGGCTATTTTAAAGGCATTTTAAATGTAGTATACTCTATCATCAATTTATAAGGGTGGTAACTCTTTTTGTTTTCTATACTAAAAACATTCATTCTTGTAATGCTCCTTTACCTTAACAGAGAAATTAAGACAGCAGTTAAGAGATTTCAAAAAAATATTTGGAGCCATTTGATTGTGTTTCTTTTTACTTTTATTAACAGATTATGGTGTATTTTTTTTCTAAAATAAGGACCATGCAGATCTTCTGAGTTAATTTCTTTTAAATTTAAATCAAACACAATGAAGGATGGGAAGAAGTTCAAAATTTAAATTTAAATTTTGAAATTTAAATTTTGAACTTCTTCCCATCCTTCATTGTGTTTGATTTATATGTTCCTTACCTGTTGCTACTATGATTGTTGCTGTTTTATAGGTAATTAGTTTACACCAATTAGATGCACATATACAAACCTGATTCCCATATTGTGATGCAGTAAATGTGCACAGGGCATAAGAGTATAACAGATCTCTTGTGACGGTTGTTTGTGTAAAGCAGATGATACACATTATAATGACCAGACCAGTCTATCAAATAATGCAAGCTATTTTATTTAGTTGATAAGGTGGTCCTGTATCCTTTAAAACCACAATATCTGTTCATTGTTTAATGGGCAAAACCACGGATCAATAAGACTCTAGTGTGGGCACCGTGGATTTAATTATACTTCTCTCGGTAAACCAAAATCCAGGATGAAGTAAAAAAAATCCAGCTGCTCAGGCAGCATCGTTGGAGAGAGAAAAACAGAGTTATCATTGCAAATTCATTAACATGAGGCACATTGCTTTTAGTTAGATTTTCTGCATCACACAGAATATTACTTCAGCACCAGAACAGAATATTCAGGACTTCTCTCTTTT